GTGTGTGTGTGTGTGTGTGTGTGTGTGTGTGTGTGTGTGTGTGTGTGTGTGTTGTGTCGCGAAACACTGTAGGAGCGCCTCCGTGTCAAAGACGCAAAGGGTAGGATTGTTATTTATTCTTTCCGCTCGTCTAACTGCAAAAGCATTTCCTCTGGGAGAGTGAGAGCGTCTCCATTTTCTTGGCCTCATAACGTCCCAGCGGCGGTCTCTCCGCCTCCATGCGGGACGAGTGTGAAGCTCTCAGACGGGACTGGTGCCATAGCTCTAAGAAGCCAGACTCACAGAAGCAGTTTGGAGGGTTTTTTTTACTTAACGTTCTCCTTTAAAAGGATCAGCCTAGCCAGCAGGTCGGCTGTCTGCTCCGAATCACTGCAGAGCCTGTTTAAATGCTTCAGAACCTAACGAACGATCATGTGTGATCCATTCAGGTGTGTGAGAACCGCCGCTGCCATCATTTCTTCTGTTTTATCAACAGGAGCTGTCTGTGAAACTTCTTAATGTCTCTTGTGTTGTCGGCCTCTTTTCCATCAAGAACCAATCAGGGCACCGCAGTAGCGTCTAGATGCACTGCTACCAGGACAGTATTCTCCTGAAAAGCCGCGCCTGGGCCTTCACTACAGCTCCAGCTGCAGGCTTTTGGAGCAACCCTTTTTTTTTTATTTCTATTTTTTTCCCCTGCATCTGATGGAAAAGAGGCTCTGAAACTCCAACCAGTGCTGTTTTTAACCTCCTGAAATGTCACACTTTTGATTTTAGGAGGCTTTGAGGAAACTACATGGAACACAGATGGCACAGATCTTAGATAAAACAAGAGTTATATGCAATTTGAAGCTAATAAAAGGTTATATCAAGCACACACGCGGATGTGGAGGCATTTCATTGGGACCACCTCATGATGAATAACTGCTTTCTTTAATGCATCTCTGTTTCTGAAAGCTGAACTGATGCCAGTGAAGCTGTCGTACCTAAAACCGACAGTCGGCCCCTGAACAGGTGCATTACTTTCTTTCCCAGGAAAAGAACATGGACTTCCTGTAGTACAGGCTCATCTCCTTTCAATCTACTTTTGGGGCTAGAATGCTGTTTAACGCCCATCTGTGGAGTCCCAGGAGGTCAAACAGGTAAATGATGTCCAAGAATGCCTTTGAAGTGTTACTACTGTTCACTTCTGGTAAAAATAAGTGATTGAAACCTTTGTTTAAACGCAGACCTAATTATCGTAAATGAATTTAACTTTACTGTTGAAGTAGCTTCCCTGATGTTTTATAATGACCTTATTCATGCCTTGGTTACATTTGACAGTAAGTATTAAATAAGACTGGTAGTGAATACACTAAAGTAACTTTTTACTTTGTTAATTGTCTCCCTTAGAGCTGGATCAGGAACACATTTAGGGGTTTTCTGTCTAGGTATGAGATCTGATTTCAAGAAAGATGTGGCGCTGCCCCCAGTTGTCCACCAGAGGGCACCAAATATTAACCAGACATGTCAAGTCACAGAAAAACAGATTTCAAATGTTACAAATGTATAAATAGAATTATATAAAAAGAAGTTACTACTGGTGTATTTTTATGAAGTGACAAAAACTGAATTTAAACAGTTTACTGTAACACTTTCTCTTTTTTGTAATAAAATTTCCTAGGTTTTTAAACAAGGAACAGAACCAAACTGTTTTTTTTAAAAATGTTGCTTCAAACCAACCTCCAAAAAGATTTTATCTTCTCATTCAGCTCAATTTAATGGACTCAGAAAATGACTGGAATGGCAAGCTTGCAAATCTTTTTTATTTCAAGGTGTAAATGTTTGTTACTGATTGTATTTTCTCGTCCTTTTTGTTAATGAAGAAACAACAGAGCACATTCAAAGTAAGAAAACATTTATAGATACATACAGTATACTGATGTGATAAAACAGAGCGTCACATGTCGGCTGACCAGAAGAAGCCATCTAGGAATTTCTAGCAGAACGTCAAAGATGTCATAATGTTGCTTTTTTTTGTTTTTCTTCTTTACGGCTCAGTTTGCCTATAAAACAACTGGATTCGGCTCCTTATAAGGCCTTCAGTCGCTGTCCTAAAGCAACAAGATTTCGACCTATAACCCAAATCTCTGCAAAAATACACCTTCCATGTTTGATTTGATCATAAAAACTGATCCGTTCTCCAACATTTCCAGGAGCAGCTCCGGTTCCAAAGACACCTTTGAGGATTCCTGCTGTGAATTCCCCCCGTTTGTAGAACGAGACATGCACCTCTGAACGGTAAGTGTTGCGCGTACAGTTCACTGACGGAGAGACGAAAGACGTTTTACAGGTCGCAGTGTGTGAGTTTTGAACCACTCTGATGCCGGCACAATGAAAAACAACACCGCTGTTTCCACCCGCTGAGTGATGGGGAAACTGGAATGTTTTCAGACGTCTGCCGACGCTCCCGTTTCTGATTATTTTGGTTTTCAGCAGTGCCCACGCCAAGCGGTGGTAAAAACACGGTTAAAGCAGAGTGTGAACTCAGTGTGTGTGTGTGTGTGTATGCACGTGCGTGTGTGTGTGTGGGTAGAAATACAAAAACACAGTCATTGAAATCACACCAGTCCATCCGTAACCCGGAACTCAAACACAAATGTTCGTTATTGCTGCTTCTTCATGGCACAAACAATGAAAAGGAGACACGGTGTGTGTCGTACTGTTGTGTGTCGTACTGTTGTGTTCTCTGCTGCCATGCAAGCTCACTACGGTTCTGCTCTAGATTAGCTCGGAGTACACGGAGCGACACGAGGGGCGTGAGGGGCTGCACACGGCGCCAGGCGAGCGTCTACAGCTGGCGTTACACACACCGAGCAGACACAAAAGGGTTGTCGTTGTTGTTGTCATCACACAAAATAATGGTGGCGATAGCATTAGCAATATCTAGAGTAAGAATTAAAAAAACAAAAAAACAAAAACACATTATCAGGGCATCACAAATGTAATAAACCAACAGGGACCAAACATTATGTTGGAAATAATTTAAACATTTCTGACATTCATTCTTTTTGGATGTTTTTTTGTTTTGTTTGTTATTTACAGTATATATTTATATTTGTATAGAAGTAGTGCTTGATTTCTAGAAATACAAATGGAAAAAAAAACAACACAAGGGCTGCATTCTGTGAATGCTGTGCAAATAACATCTTTTTTTTTTATACATCAAACGTCGGACTTCACTGCCCCCGACAAACACACAGCAAACCCACCCCCCCATTCTTCACAAGCACGGACTAAAAGTTCAACTTTCAGTCCCATTCGCAGCTTCCCGCTTCGGACCGTCTCGCCCGCCTTAAAGCGGCAGAGCAGAGATCGCAGGCAACTCTGAATCAAGCTAAGAAATATACATCCTCTTCGTCTCATCTGCCCCCAAACCGAACAGCGGCGGGCAGCCGGGGGGGCCGGCGGGGTCTCGTCCCCCCCCCCCAACAGGAGGCCGAGCTGGAGCTCTGGTTTTTCCTCCTTTCCTTCTCATTTGACCCGCCAGCAGGAAATCAAACGGAGGGCACTCGAACACGTCCGGCCTCCCCCCGCCCCCCCTGCCCCCCCCCAGGCTTTCCCTCGGGCTTTTAGAGTCCTTGCTGGCAGTGTTGGCGCCTCACAGAAGCCACCGATGGATGACCACCAGAGAGCCGTCGGCCTCGCCGGGAAACCGGCGGCTCCTCCTCAGCTCTCCGGACGGTTTGTGGAACAAAAAGCGGCGTTTGCGGGGAGTTTTTCTGCGTCTAAAGAGGGGGCCAGGACAACAACGCGAAGGGGAACTAAGCTGAGTTTCTCTGAACGGTTCGCCCGGCTGTGCACCGGGATACAAAAAGAAGAAAAACACAAATAACGAAAAAACAAACAAATGAAAGCCGCAGTTCTTCTCTCGTCCTTCGTTAAAGTTAGGCTTTCTATCTGGGAAAATGTCTCCCAACTATTTATTCTTCTTCTACTCTCGCTTTAAAACAAGAACACACAGTTCTGAACGTTGCATTTTAAAAGGTGAAACAGAGGGACTTGTCACAGCTTCCCAAACATGGAAAAGCCCGACCGTCCCGCAGGAGTCCAGAGGAAAGCCGGTGCTTTTGTCTTTCCTGCTCCCCACCGCTGATGGAGGGAGGGGGCGGAGGACAAGAGGAGCACGGACAGTGACAGACGGGTTCTTCTTCTCCTGTTCCAGATGATATGAAGTCACAGACAGAGATGGGAAAAGGAAAGCCAGTTTTGGGACTTTCGGAGCACGACGTCTGAGGCTGCTGTTTGATTCCAGCCCGTTTGTTCTGGTCGGCCCGGGTGGCTGAAGACCTCCTCAGGAGGTGGAAGTCCTGTGATGTGAGCCGGGGGGGGTGAGGGGGGGGGGCGGCTGGTGACGTGTGCGGTGATAGCGGTTTTCTGATGGCAGAGTCTAGATGGACTTGGAGGAGTCTTGTTTGCTGATGAGGACCTCCAGGAGGCGCAGCTTGGCTTTGATCCTCTTGTACTCTCTGTACTCCTCCAGCATCAGCACCCGGTCCTCCTTCTGGACATTCCTGTGGGAGAAGGGGGGCTGTTGGTCACCTTTGTGTGTGGTTTTCCCTCCCAAATAGGGATTTCAGATGGTTTCCATTTGAATCTAATCTCTGTAATTTATGTTTTCAATTCAAGCTAAAATGGTGCAGTTCAGTTCAAACATTGGTTCTTCTAAAAATCCTATCACAACGACACCCCCGGGTGACCCACCTCCCGTTCCGCTGATAGAAGCTGTCCTCAAACTCTCGGATGGTCTTCCTCAGTTTCTTCTTCTCTGCTCTGGCCTTCCACAGCTGTTCCAGCAGCTCTGGCCTGGAGGGAGACGGGGGGGGGGGAAACAACACACGCTTTAAACACCTCAGACATGGTTTCCTCACCCAGCCTGAAGAGCTCCGACTTCTCCAGAGGACTTTTTTCATTATTTCTTTTACATTCAATTATTTTAATAACTTCTTAACACAACACTTAAAACTGGAGAGACTCGCTTTTCTTTTTCTCCAGCAGACTTGTTAAAACTACAAGCTGCCAGGCTGAATATTTTCCAAAGTCCTCTCCATAATTCCTGCACAGTGGAACTTTTCAGACTGATGGAGGACCGGCGGGCTCTGAGGCGGTTATTAAACGGCGGTGTGCTCTTACATGGACGAGGCGTTGGAGCTGGACAGCCGCAGGTCCAGCGCCAGCCTCCCTGACCCCTCCTCCATCTTGTCTCTCATTGGACAGTTGCCCTGGCCGTCCGGCTGGTCCTGGCTCCTGGTGGACCCGTCGGTGGGGGTCATGGCGTCGAAGGCCATGATGACCTCGGAGCTCTGCATCTCGCCGCCGCTGCTCTCTCCCTCCGTCTCCTCCTCGTCCTCCTCCTCCTCCCGCTCCTCCTCCTCGCCGGCGTTGCGCTCCTCCTCCTCCTCCTCCTTGATCTCCTCCCAGAAGTGGGCCGTCTCGCCCTCGATGATTGGCTGGAGGATCTGACTGCGCCTCTTGCTGGAGGGGGACACCTGTGGCAGAGCGTGGGGGTCAGAACGGCGTCCGGGAGCCTGTTGCCGTGGCGCCTGTTGCCGTGGCGCCGGCGGTGTCTGTCCATCTCACCGTGATGGGCGTGATGCTGACTCTGGTGAGCATCTGCTTGACCAGTCGGTAGCGGTCGTAGAGAGGCTTCACCACCAGACGCTCCTCCCTGGTCACCTGATGGGATGGGAGGGGGGGGGGGGTATGTTTGAACGTGTTGGCTTAAGCTCTTTCCCCTGAAACCCGGAGCTCTGACGGACGGCGGCGCTCACCGGTCGGCCGTGCAGGCCTTCGTAGTGAAGCAGATTCTTCTGAAGCACCATCTTCTCACAGGACAGCTGCTCTTTGGTCATCTTCTACAAACACAGATGGAGACATTAAAGCACACAGTCCCAGGGGGGCATTCTCCCGGTCAAACATTTGGTGCTTTGTTTGGATTTTTCTGAATCTAATCTCCAAATGAAAGTACACTTTCAACAACTTTTTTTGTTAAGAACTCGGCTGCCATTGAGTGATTTCATTCGTTCATATCTGTGTTCTGAGTTAAATCTGATGATGGGGCAGTGGCTGAACGGGACATAACAATTCTGCATTTTGTAACTTTACCCCTCCATAACTTACTCAGAAATATCCCCTAAGGGACAGTAAAGACTATTTATGTGATTGGCCTCACCTTGATGTCATCTGGCCAGCCGTCCTCCTGCCTCTTCCCTTTGACTCTGCACTGGATCAGCTCCAGCGTCTCCTCCCTGGTGGGACGTTGACCTTTGACCTCCCCAGCTGCGTCGCCAGTGTCTTGGTCCAGCGTGGAGCCAAAGCTCTTGGGTAGGGTGTTGCTACGCGGACGTGTTTGTGGGCTGAGCTCACTCTCTGCACAGTGTTTAGCATCTGGAGTGGGACGGACAGCGGACGTCAGCCGTTAGGACGGGGGGGGGGGGGGCAGACATGAAGACGGCACAGGGAGCGGCTGACGGGCAGTCAGGCCATGCAGCCGCCCTGGGGGAGGCGGCCACTCACAAAAAGAAACATGCGTCGACAAGAAACCAGAAATGCAGCACTGTGCTTTTTCCTGATGCGATTTATGAGAAAAATCACAGAAACGTGACAAACCTGGACCGACACATAACATCCGCCCTTAATATCACACACCAGCATCTCGGCCCCCCTTCATTTGGGTGATGACTTTATATAAAAGGGTTTGTAATGGTTAACCCCAGCTCGTACCCAAACCTGTCCATTAGTGGATTAAGACCCCACCCACCTCCCCACCTCAGCTCTAAGCCTTAACGTCTCATGCCGGCATGCTGCGTCAACAAAACAAGATGCTCTCACACGGCTGCCTCACCCGCTGTCAGGCCTCTTATACACCAGACCGACGCCCCCCCCGGTGGCTGCTGCGTCCCTTAGAAGCTGCCACTCCTCAGTGCACCCCACAGACCACCGCCAGCCGCACCCCCCCGTGTGTAGGGTAACTATGGAGACGGCTTTGCCCATAAAATACCAAGTTCTGTTAAACCAGAGATCCTTATTCGGCTTTTTCTCATCACACACATGGGTGGATGGGTTTGGGTGTGCGGGTTACTGCCTCATCTGAAAAACCAAAACCGGGTCCGATGCAGCGGACAAGACAGATGATCCAGATGTTCCCCACAGCTGAGCGCCGGCATGGTGTATAAGAGCCTTCACAGTGTCGTGATGTCTACTTACTGGGGGGGGTTGTACTTACTGAGGTGCAACGGTCTAGAGCTCAGGCCTGAGCAGGGGTGGAGAGGGGGGGTGGGGGTGTGATGGGGAGGTGAGCAGATAGAGGAGGAGGAGGAGGAGGAGGAGGGGGAGGAGGGAGCATGGTGGCGTCTGTGTGAATGGAGCAAAGCCTGGTGCCTCAGCGTGCTTCTGGGTAAAAGGTGGTGCTGGCGTCCTGGTTGGGCCAATCAATCAATCAATCGGTCGTTGGGCAAAAGAGGGAGGAAGGAGGAAAGTGGAGAGCGGGTGCTCGCGTTATTGGTTTTCAGTTTGATTGGAAACAAAGAGAAATGTTTCTGCCAGCTGCCTCCTCCAGAAAGGAGAGCAGCCACCCCGCGTGGAGGAGGTGGATGAGGGTCCCGGGGCTGGTTCAGTACGATGAAAGAATGCGAACATACAAGCTCGTGTGTCGGGGAGGATCCACGCCCCCCCCCGGACACGTCCCATTGGACATTATGCGATTCGCTTGTCACTATGTTTTGATGTCATTTCACCTTACTGAACTCGCCCTGCGGGTAATGGATGTGGGTTCACAAGGACGCACCAGCACATTGGAGGGTGGGAGCCACGCATGTGAGAGCCACGTCGGCCCTGAACATGTGCATGTGTGTTTGACTGTTAGACCAGCAGACATGCAATGTTGGGGCAAAGGCCGAGGGTTAGGAGTGGGAGGCGGTCAGGCTGTCCTTTCGTGGAACAGGATGGCACACGCTCTCATTCCCCACACACAAACGCACCACCAGCAGAAGAGGAGCGAGTGCACTCCAGCCCTACCTTTGATCTGCCTGCGGATCTTGGTCAGGTCAGTCATCCACTTGAGAACTTTGGGGTTAGCTGCCTTGTCTCCATGAGAGGGCTGCGGAGCGAAAGCACAGAGCCACGACAAGAGCCAAGACAACAGGTTAGAGGATTTGCACCAGCGATAAAAGCGCTCGGCTTGTGTTAGAGATCAGAAACATTAAATCCTAAAAATGCTGAATCTCACATTATAACCGTTTGTGGCTGCCTCCAGCACAGAGCAGCAAACTGGCAGTAGCTGTTAAAGTTTAATCTAAACATTCTCCAGCACTTCTGATAGCAAAAAAACAAACTCAAACCTTTGGGCAGTAGCGGAACATGCTTCTTTTTTTTTCAGCTGTCTGTCGCCAATGATTAATCACACTTATCTATCTATTTATTTAATTATCACACTCAAATGAATCACACTTTGAAGGCAGTTGATAAACAGGCCTGAAGAGGAGCCATGAGCTGTGAGGTCTAGAATATAAACCTGGAAATGCTTACACTCATTATATGGGTCTAAACATATATGTCTAAACATAAAAACAATCAGTTGAAATGTTTCCGTGCTTTTCACAATTTACCTTGTAGTTCCTCTCCTTCTCAAACTGCTCTTCAAATTGTTTGATTTTCTTCTTGAGATGCTGAAGCTTCTTAGTGAGTTGGTGGGTCACAGAATCTCCTCTCATGGCCTCTCTGGAGCCAAACGACGCTCGTCTGGGCCTGAGGACACACGTGTCGGGTCAAAGTCCACACAAACATCACCTGACACAAGCAGCACACAGGTAAGCTCACAAACACCTTCTAGTCCATTCCCTGGAGTTACAATGCCCAACATCAATTGGTATGACCTGTTCTAAACCTTCAGCGGGTGAATCCACCTGGCTGCTTTTGGCTGAGAGGCACCAGCCTGCAGCCTGCAGCGTACCTCTGTGCTTTGGTGGGGGAGGTGGCGTCTGGATCCTGTGGGAGGAAGCGCTGGGTGCTGTGCGCCCCGAAATCCAGAAAACGTCGCGCCAAGATGTGAGGATGAGTGCGTGAAGAGGAGGGGGAGTCATCCTGCGCTCTCTCCCCCTCTTGCTCCTCGTTGTCCTCCTCCAGGGGCAGCAGGGGGAGAGGAACCATGCGACCAGCCAGCGGCGACAGCTGCGCCTCTCCGCTCTCGCTGTCGTCCTGCCAGGACTTGTAAGCTGGGACGGGGTCTGGAGGGAGAGGACGGCAGTAGATAATAAGACTGAGAGCAGGTCGACGCAGCTCGGAGAAGACTCATTTAATATTTAGCCGACAAGCAAACAGCAGGAGGGACCGGCGCTGTGCAGAACAACCTCAGGACGCAGCCGGAGCCCTGCAGAGTCACTACACCCGACGGAGCACAGTCAGAGCTACGCTAACAGGCAAAGAGGAAGGAGGAGAAAAAGGAGGAGGAGGCTGTGCAACAGGGGTCTTGACAATAATGAGACAGTGGTACGACACGGAGGCAGTAAGTGTCATCGGGAAAGATGTCCTGACTCTCCACTGAGCCTACAGCAGGAAGGAGCAGGGGGGAGACCCCTTCAGCAACCTTATTAAATCTGAAGGAGAGAAGTGTTTCACATGCAGGGCATTAGTTCACACACAGGGTTAGAATGAGATAACTGGGTCTCCTGCACTCCGTCCACCAGCAAGCCGCTGAAACCAACGAGAGCCGGTGAGGGCGCGGGGGGGCACACATGAAACTACTTACCGTGGCCTTCCTTTTGCAGATGCATACATGAGAAGTCGATGGGAGGGAGGTGGAGATGGGAGGGGGGTGACGCTGCTTGGATATGAGGAGGAAGACCAGAAGAAGAATAAGGAGGAAGGACAGGGAGAGATAGCAGAGAGAAGGAGCGGTGAGGTGAGTTATTCATAACTTCACTCCCCGACATTCATTCAGTACACAGTGGCACCTGAAAGCTTGAGTCTGTTTTCTACATAAATACACGGTAGACTCAACTTTTAAAAAAAGACATTGCATCACTGTGTGGGACTGAACCGCAGAAAAAAGTGGGCAGGATGCGAGAACGAGGAAATGAAGTTTATACAAATAACCAAGTACGAGTCCTGACCTGAATCTGAATTGGGGAACCCACAAACATCCAGGATTTGTTTTTGTTTCGTAGGAGAGGAACAAGATTAAGTTCTTTAAAAAATGTGGCTTCTGTCAGATTTTTAAGGGTACTCGATAAGACAACAAATCACAAACTTTCACGCACCACTGCACATGGCATCGAGCTTCACGGCCAGAAAAAGATGCCGTTCACAGCTTTCCACTCACACTGGATGTTTAACAGCAGCACGGAGGAGTGAAGGAAAATAGCAGCTGGTAACGTTACCATGAACGTTTTGGTTAAAAGACGCAGGCGTTTTCAGCCTTTGGTTTGATTTGTTTCTACCTTCATTAGCATTTACCTGGACTCAATTAAATGACAGATATAGCAGACAAGGGGAAAACACTATAAATAACTGGATACAGGTCTAGATCAAACACTTTCCACTAATTGGATGTTAAAACTGTACAAATCGTGATGGAATACCTGATATATGGTGGTACGTACCCTCCCACTGGTTGTCGGGAAACAACTGAAGGTGGGGGTTCTGGCCAGAGTTCGGTTGGCATGGCGACTGGTGGTTCCTGTTCTCGCTGTTGTTGGCGTTCTGATCGCAGCTTATTGTGTCCGAGTCCTGGAGAAGAGATGGATCGCATGGAAAACAATGATTAACAGGAGCAACGAGGAGAAACAGAATAGTAAAGATAAACGTTCAGGGAAAAGATGCAGCGAAAAACACAAATGAATAACAAACCTAGTGAAATACAGAACAATGTCTTTACACTTCAAACTAATCATGTAATATTAATATGAAATCGTCTTCTATGAGATGAAAAAGAAAAGAACGAAAAACAAAAATGGAAACACTAAACACTAGAATATTCCCACTACTTACACAGCTTATGGTGACCGTCTGCTCCATGTTATCAGCAGCCTGCTCGTCCTTCCTGTAACCAAACATTAGTTAGAAAACAAGCCACAGGACTCAGAGAGACATACCAGCACTTTGGCACTTTCTTTGAAGTAACAAAGTCTGTTTTCTTGCGGCAGTCTGCCTTAGTTTGTTAGTTGTAGCTGTTCTAATCTGGAGAAGTGTTTTTTTTCCTATGGATGATCAGTCAAAACGCAGACTGCGGAAGAACGGACAGCTGAGGGAGAGTCACACAACTCCAAATCCGTCCTACTCCAGAATGAGTAGTGGAATAAATAAAGCTTGAACATCCCACAGCAGCTGAAGTCAGAACAGGTCTGCTGAGCGCTCTGTCATTCTCCGTCATTTTGAATGACTAAGAAATGCCTGTACAGTGTGACTTAATACAGAGGGGGGGGGCTTTTGCAAAAGATGCCCTTTGAAGGGATTTGTGAACCTCAAGTGAGAAATTAGCAGTGGACACCCCCGCAACCTTTTTATAAAAAATTTATACAATAGAGAAATAACTTTGAAATAATAAAAAAAAATTAACAGTGAAGTTAAAGCTAAAATTTGTTCCTCTTGTCTGGAAATTAAACGGCTCACCTAGCAGTGTTGAAATTGTTCTCAGCATCAATGTCGGCCGCTGCATCCAGGTCCATTCCTGAGCTCTCCTCCAGGGAGGCGACAGAGCCCAGTGCATTCTGGGAAAAGGAAAAGAAAATGTTTCAGACTGACTGAGTGCTGGAGGGGACCGGCCTGCCTAAAAGCACCAGAACTGCTTCCAGAACAACAAAACACTCAGAGGAACAGCACACTCACATTGGCTGACTCTCAATCATGAAGTGAATCACTCTTATTCAGACATCTAGATTTAGCTACTGTAAAGACTGTGGGCTTGAGAATTTGAGGAGAAATTTTGCGCAAAAGGTGTATTTTGTCTGGCAGAACACAGGTGGACTGAGCTGACTAACACTCAGAGACAGGAATCAGGGTGGGGAGGAACTGGGGGCTTCTTTTCGGGGAAACCTCCACTGTGAGCGTTAATCTGATTCCTGTTTCTGAGCAGAAACTATCTATTACTAACAAATAATACGTGTGAGAAAGTGAACAAATGATTACTGGGTTTTTCTCAGGATGTGTGTGTGTGTGCCTCTACCACTGACCTGTGTGTCCGTCTGACTTTCTTCTATGCGGCGCTCGCTCTGAGTGAGTGGGGTCTCCCCCACTGCGTCGCAGGGGCTGTCCTCAGGGTCGGTTTGTTGCTCCAGATCTCCGTGGAAACCCTGGTCATCAGGCTCAGAGGGACTCGCCCTGTGGCACAATGTTGGAAATGTTCAGAAAACAACCAGCGTCCACATTCTGATATCAGCGTGAGGCTGACCGCAGACTCACACAAAACCTGCTTTGTCTTAAGTGCTGATGGAATTTGAACAGCTGTGTCTCTCAACATGCAGTTATCACTTCTCCCAACATGTTTATTTTTAACTGGAGCAATCTGTTTGGCGTTGTGCCTTTGTGCACAACATTGGCTGTGGCCGATGAGTCTCCCTGAGGTCACCCGATTTTACCACTCCAGCACAAAGCGTGGCAGATACCTGTTTTAGTGAGTATCATCTCAACCTGTCTGGTTTCATGTCACCGTACGAGCTCTCTCACCCATGGTTGTCGTAGTTACTGAAGTCTTGGTCGATGGAGGTTTTCAGCTCGAAAAAGCGTTGCTCCACCGCTGCCCGGATGGTCCTCTCAATGATCCTAGAAGGCAAAAAACAACAACACACTTTAACACAAAGCTAAAAGATTTAGCAGAAAACAACAGATTGAGAGACCAATTTTTTAAATACTAAGATTAGATCATACCGACAAAATGAGTTGAAAAGAAGAAGTCTGTTGTAGAGTCTGAACCCGAACTGAGCCAAAAGTTTATTTGGGTTTGCTTCATTATTTTTCCTGCTTGTTTTCTTTATTTAATCAGAACTGTTATTCCACACAATGAATTAGAGCACAAACCAAACGCCACCGCATGGCTTAAACTACTAAATGACACTTTAATGAAATAGTGAGCTCCCCTGCTCAGCAACACAGAACTCAATAAGTTTATCAGTTTATTTAAAGATGTCTGCAAAAACAACTAACATGTTCATCACCTCTAAATCAAAGGGCATGCTGGGACATCGGGTGTACTGAGAGGCATTTAATTTCCAACAGGCTGATAAAAATGTAACGTTTTAAGAAATAATTAATAGCACATTTCCAGTCTGAGCCAATTACAGACTCTTTATTAAGCCAGGACCCGGCCGGGTGCTCCAAGGATTAGTGATGCTTTAACTGGAGCCACAGAGCGGAGAGGAGTGGAGGGACGACAGGCCGCTGTGGCCTATAAAAGGTAACAAAAGCAGTTCCACTCTGACCTCTTTTACATTGACACGGACCAGTTGATCCACAGACTCTGCAGAGATTTCACTTCTCTGGCTTCATTTATTGGACCGTGATAGATGTGCGATGATAATTCATTCCTCCTTCAGTCACTCTGGCTTCCAGCAGTCTGCTGGCTCTCAGTGCTCCAGCTCAGACGGCATTAAGGCTGCAGACCTTAGAAAACACCCCCACGCCAACTGCTCACTCGCTTCATCTGGTTTAATCTTACTTTTTTCCGGATTCTGTGGATCAGCTTTAATTCACATCCGCTGGAGATACTTTTTATTTAAACAGACGGATGGAAGCAAAATATTAAAACTCAACACACTTGAGCCACACACTCAAGTGAAACTAAAGTTGAAATAAACTAAACGAGCAGACAGAAATGACCACAGAACACAGAAGATGAGGTTTCTGTTTCAGTACACTTGTAATGGAGAAACTGTCCAACACATGCTGGTAGTCAGAGGGAAGTGACGACTTCCAGAGAACCAGAACTTCAGCACTGCTAATTCAGCCCTGGAAGTGAACCTCTCTTGAATTCCCCAGCAGGACATGCTGAGCAGTTTTAGGGTTTTTTTCTTAATCTTTTTATAACAAAAAACAGTTTTTTGCTTAAAATATCCCTCCGAAACTAAACCCACAATATTACTATTAAAATCTATCTGTGACATCAGTCCAGCCTCTTTCTTCTGAAAAATATAAACTCCTGGGCTTATTTTTCCTCTCCTGACAGATGGAAGGGAATTAGCTGAAGTAGCTGCTGTTCATATACCAACACACAACACATAACTGAATAAATAAAATGTCCACAGTTGAATTTGGTCAAAATAAGTATTAACTGCAGAAGTAACAACATAACAAAACGTTTGACACAACCACGTGTCCTCCTGGGTCTTTTCACTAGTCCATGACAAAATAAAGGGGAGTTAGTACTAAGAATAAACGTTCTAGGATGAGTTGCAGGCAATAGAGTTGTGGCAGCTCTGAATCGAGCTGCTTTTCTGCTTGCGTTTGTGAACTGAAGTTTAGGATTAACACATTAATTCACTGACCAGAAAACATGATTTCATTCAGATGCCTGACAGTCATGTGATTCCTGAGTTCACCTCCCTGAAGCTCCAACAACAACAAGCCCTGCTCAGAGCTTTTAATTCAGCTTTGTAAGCAAATCACAAGGCTGGCTCCCCTCCTTCCTGTCGCTGTTGATCTGCCCACTTCTTGATTTCTTGTTTTGTCTCTGAGGCGGAAGGTCTTTTGCAGCCTTCTCCCTTCCTAGAACTCTGCCTGTTCGACATTCTTTTCATGTTTTCGAGGTTATTGGAAAATCAGCTCAACATAGGTTTTTAGACAGTCCCACACAGCGTGACGCCACTTCTTTTAGTAAAGCGTTAAGATATTACAAAAGGTGCTAAATAGAATATATTTTTAGTACTTTCGCTCTAAGTGTTCATTTTATTTCATGCTGTGATGTACTGAGAGAGACTTACTCAGCAGGGTCAGCAGGCAGGATGGATATGGAGGAGAGGTGGGAGCTGTGGAGGAGAAAAGCAGGGTTAGAACATCACGTACACCTCCACTCCCTTCTCATGCAAACATCCAATGACCTCCAATAGCTGGAGTCAAAACAGGGAAGAGACAGAGGAGAGCAGCCCTGTTTGAGACTACAAATCCAAAATAAAAAAAGGTTGAAACTAATGCATGCAAGTCAGCATGAACCTTTTCTCCCAAGATCCTCTGCTCCAAAGGACAATCCCGACAAATACATAACACACACAAAACACAAATACACAAAGCTTCGCACAGTGGCGCCACTCTGGGTGGGCAGATTTATTTAGGCTACAGAGCTCATCTGGATCCTGCTGATCAGATAGAGACTGTGTGTCATGTTATATTTATTCCTCCGCGCTCTTCCTTGAGCAAGGACGCGAGTGCGTGTGTGTTTGTGTGTGCGTGTGTGTGTGTGCCGGCTGAGGTGGGTCATGGATTCACAAAAGCAACCACTGACAGAAATGCTAGAACACCACATTATGTAAGGGTTCCATCCCAGCCCAAAAGTCATCCACATTATGGAAAAGCACGTCACATACATGCTCTGAGCGCGTGTGTGTGAGTCTGTGTGTGTGTGTGCGCACAACAGCTGACGTTATGCAACCCTTCGGTGCGTGTGTGTGTGTGTGTGTGTAAGGCACTTTGACACTTTAATGCAGCAAGAAGTGCTCAAGTAGATCGATACGGCCTGAATTATTAATGACAGATAGGAAACCAACATGGTCTCCTTTTTTTTTGCTGCTTCTTATTGCCTTTTCCTCATCACAAGGCACCATTTTGTTAAATTTACTTTACTCTCCGAGGCTATTTTCCTGCTTCTCTCACCCGCTCCTCGTCTCCCTCCACACTGACATTTCTTTTCATATCAGAGCTGCCCTTCATGCTCCTTTTCTATTCGGTCCCTCCTTTTTGATCTCATCTCTTTCTCCCTTGATCCGAGCTGGCTTTGAACATCACAACTGTCTCGCGGCCCCTTTGGGGGAACCACAACCTTAACTCTGGGAGTGGGGGATAGAGATGGAGCCATCTACCAGTGAACCTCCAGCCGAAAAGAGAGGAATGATATTGGAATGACCGTGATGTGGCTCAGATAACCCAGTTTGCATCAGATCTTCACATAGATCTCTCCTCTCCCTTCTTTTCCTGTTCCTGCTCAGCTGTCCGTCATACGGGGGTGGGGGGGCAGCTGTCCCTGTCACACCGATAACATCAGGACTGAAGCTGAGCTACGCAGAGCAGCCGCATCTCCAACAATAGATCTTTGAAAGGGGCCCTCAGGACGTTACATAATTGCCACGGGCCCTTGATTGCACCATCTGATCTTACACCATCACGCCCCTGCGGGCTCGAATGAAAACTGTCGTTGGGAGGTGTTCCTGCCCTTTTTGACTTTTAGCGTTGCCGGGGTAACGTCAGGAGTGCTCTTAGGAATTACACAACTCGACCTTTCTGCAGCCTTTTCCAGCTTTTCCTGTTAAACGGGGGGGCCTGTGAAGGACTGGGTCAGGACAGATAAGATCACCAAAAATGGAACAGAAAGTATTTTAAAGTCCGTCCTATGAACACCAGAGGGAGCAGCGCCTGATGACAAGCACCTTAAATCTAAATCTGTCTCCATAGGTGATCGCCTTTCACACAGTATGTTAGACTAATTGAAAGAAAGATTGAAAATATGACTGCTACTCACACTGTATATGCACCTCTAATTTGACACCGCTGTATATAGTCATGGCAGATAGTAAACGATTTGAAACCTGAAACTCTTTTTTATCTTTTTAATAGAATGTTACTTGTGCCCACTGCAGTTAAGCAAAATTTATGAAAACTCACTATATATATATATATATATATATACACACACACGCACACATTGATATAGACATTTTTCTAATAAATAAATAAACTACAGCGTACCTTCATCAGTACAGTAAACAGATTAGATGAGTTACTTAAGGCAGAACTGCAGACAGAGATTAGATCTGGATAACTTCTTAAAGACCCAAACCTTTTCACAAGCTGTTGGCCGGCAGTGATACTGTAAACCTGTCAGTGGTGACTTCAGCTGATGATTTATTAATGGGCGAAACAACTCCACACTATCAGCCCTACAGATAACAGTGATTTAAATGTGACTCTATGATCAAACTATAATACTTCCATTTTTTTGTATTAATTCATTATGACCTATTATCTTTCATGTTCCAAAGTAGCCTTAAACGAGCTTGTGGCATATTTAAGGAGGATTGTGAGAATTGCTGGGATCCCAGGCTTATCTGCTGTCTACAGCTCTGATCTGGCAACATGAACATGTGCTCTGCAAACTGATAAACCAAGTGTTTTTTTAGCTTGTTGACAAGACAGTGACACAATGTGTTGTTCCTGATGAAGAGCATGATATATGTGCTTGTAGGTGGATATAAGACCTTATTTCTGATTTTATCTTCAATTGTGTTGTTTAAAAATGACGTTAAGGCATTGAAAAATGTACTGTCCGTGTGTCCTCAGATTGCACTTGAACATTCATACTCATACGGTTCACCAATGTGCAAGTTGCAGAGGCTGTTTTATGGTGTGCACATCTTATTGAGCACCCATTAAATGCCATATTTAAGGTCAGAAAAGGAGAACTTGTATCACTTTATCAGTGCAGCAAGGGTGTGACCTTCGTTTACTGGAGATAAAAGTCACTAAGAGACAGCTGAACCTTGACAGGCGTATGAGACTGCAGCAAAATGCATTCTGCTCATTAGGGTTTTATAAACACTTGGCCCAGTAAGGAATGGGTATTCTTTAGAATTTTCTGTCTTTTTTTTATCCAGATAAACAGAAAGCTGTAATGCATCTGTGTGACTAATGAAAAGCAAATGCATCAGTCTCACATCGCTAAGAGTCCAAACGGCAGACAACAGGACAGAAAACAACTCCACGTGATGGCGGTTTGCTGCATCAAACCAACAAAAGAAAGAGACTGCAGAGGAAGTTGGCTTTTTGTGCTGACCTGGAAGAGGAAAAAGGATCATCAGCAGCATCCTCGTATTATCTACGACAATTATACTGATGGCTCGACAGAAAAGGACTGTAAGTAAGGTGGTTTGGAGGGTGGTAGTGGATTCCACAGAGGTGCTGCTGTCAGCAGCCTGCCTCTGCTCTGCCTCGGCCGGGGGGGCAACCCGCTGCAGCACAGCTCCAGCAGGGGAGACTCCACACCAGGGCTCGTACCGTCACCCACATCAGACAGAAATACATTTGGCCCATTTAAACTCGGCTTCTTTAGCACAACATCCAACTGGCATGCACACACATCGTGATCGGCATCCTCTTACGTTTCATAAACAGCTTTCCTGGCTCTGCCTCTTAAACAGTAAACATGTCAAGACCAGACACAGACGGAAGAGAGGCCAAGAGCAAACGTCTGCGTCTTAACAGCCCACAACTCAAATGTTTAAGAGCCATTTGTGTTTGCATCCTCAGGGCAGCTCATTTGTTAGCACACCACAGTTGCTTTAGTATAAATGACTGGCGGCGCTCCGCTCTCTTCATCACCTCACAGCGATTTGGTTTTGCTTAGCTGACTCAACAAATCTGCCATAGCGGCACACTTCCTCCTTGTCCCTGCTTTCATTTATTATTCCAGACTCACCAGGAACTGATTCAAAATTAGCTTTAAATGTTGTTTTTTTCAAAGCAAGTGAAATCATGTACTAGTTTCTGGAACAAAAGTATTCAAAAAGTACAAACACTACTGATGTCAAAGAATTGTTTTCTTTATGAATCTGTAAGCCAATTAAAACTAAAATGACATGTTAATTAATATGTCAAATATCCTTTTCTGACAATGATTGACGACTTTAAAACCAATTTTAACTTCAACAATACAAACCTACAGATTTCCCCTGCCCTGACAAAAAGCAGCACAAAATCGTCACATTTAACCAGAAAGTTTGGAACTTTTGCTTCAGTAATTACGTTATTGGAGTGTTTAATCATTTGGGGCTACATAAATAAAGTTAAATAAAGTCTCAATTTTTACTTGAACCCTTTTAGTAGATCTTCCAAAGTAACTTCCTGTCAGACAACTTGTCCGTTTTGATAATGCTAACAACTGTTTTCTTTCAGCTACGAGTTTGTTAACATACTTGTAGTTTAACGTCTTAAATCTTAAGACAAGAAAAACAACTTCTATTTTACTCAGACTGCATAAGATGATATCAGCTTCTGCTAAGTAATGCCATGACTTGCTTTTTGTCCTTCGATGCCTCAGAGTACGTCAGCACTGACAACAAACACCTCACGCTCTTCCATGTATAACGACGTTTAAATTACTCAACGGAGATCCACTGATTCACTGCCTCTTCATGAGCTAATCGATACTTCAAGCGTTTTATTCACAACATTATCTGTTATGAATAGCGCTTCCCCAGTCCATCCATCCATTCATTTATTCCAGTCACACAATTGGAGTTACATAACCCTGATGTTTACCTCTGCAGCAGAATGTCACAGGCCATTCTCATGTGTCCAGCTCTGTTTCCTCCGTTTCCTCTTTCTCTGACCAGAGTCTCTGATGTCACACTTTTCTTTTCTGTTGGCTTTTTCTTGGCGTTTCTGCCGTTTTTTTCTGCAGGCTGCGCTGTGAGGCGTTTTCTTTTCTTTTAAAAAAAACAAATGTCCAGCAGAGATGTTAGCTTGACTTTTAGCTAAGTTCCAGCCTGTGTTTCTCCTTTTGTAGCCTGGTAAACACTTGACACATCTCCTGTGTGGGGAGTATCCAGCTGATTATCTGGTTCTGTCTTTTTTTCTCCTCTTTCGATACCTAACAGCTGTCGGTCAGCCTTCGGTCGAGTGTTTCGGTTATCCCAGCTGGGCACTTTGGGGTGTCCGAACCAGCAGGTCGAGCAGCCGAGCAAGAAAAGCACCGGGGTGCATAGTGTAGCGTCCTTTGAAGTAATGCGTGCACGTGTGTGTTGTCCTGTGTGTGTGTGTGTTTGTGTGTGTGTGTGTGTGAGGGAGACGTGGTCTCACTCTGCACTCTGTCTGTAAAAGTGCTGCAGTAACATCCCGATCTCTGCTCAAATATAAGAGCTTCTGATGTAACTAAGCAACAACCTCAGGAGGACCAATGGGGTGGGAAGGGCTGGAGTTGGCAGCCAATTGTTAGGAGGGAAGGAGTTGTGTGGGCCAGTCTAGAGGCAGAAAGTGGGAGGAGGTTTGTTTTTTTTTTTGGTCCTGTCAGTGATGACGATGAACTCAGCACTTATTGCAGAGGGCTGTGTCATGCACGCACACACACACACACGTCCCATATCAGCACAGTAACACAAACACACACACCTGTCCATCACCCCGTATGAGCCTTTGTGATGGCAGTCAACCACATTAATGCATTTAACAAATTACTCTCTAGTGAGGGACAGAGGGTGACATCACAAGCTGATTATTACACATATGTCCAAAGGCTTAATTTAAAAAGCTCTGGAAAAAAGGGCTCCAGAGAAGCCGGAGGAGGTCGCGTTAGGCTGCTGGTTGTGTAAATGACACGTTTACTGGTATGTAATAAACAGTATGGACAGTTTGTGAAGCCATGTGTGCATCACTAAAGGATTGAAACTTCAGATCATCATGGGTTAAGACAAGGAGAAGAAATGGTTGTAAGGGGCTTTAAAGAACCCGGGGGAGTTGGAGGGTCCTGCCAGTTTATGGTTTACACATTTTCATGGTGGCATTAATTAATAATCCAATGTAACAATGTATGAAAATTCTTTAATTACAAATAATAGACTGTATAATCCCCTCATATGTCCTAACAGATCAGAGGTTTTAAAAGAGTTTTTTTCAATTTAAAGACAGTCAGCGTCTTGCAGAAAAGTTATTACCAAGTAAAAGAAGAAGAAGGAAATGATCTATAATTTAACTGTTGCTTGGTCATGCTGATGCAACAACAACATGACCATAATCACACAGTGAGAACTCATACCACTCTTGTATACACAAGCCATAACTCACTGGAAAGAATTGACGATAATTGCACATGGGGTGAAACTTCATGCACAGCAGAGTGGACCTTTAGTTTCACCTTCTGTGTTTTTTGGATCACTCAGAGGAAATGTGCTGAGAAACTGCATCTGTTTGGGAGCAGCTGACGAGAAGAGGAGCCACAAAAATGTCACCAGAGAAACCCAGGCTGCTGTGAGAGTAAAGTAAAGGTTGTCTAGGGCCAAAAAAAGCTTAGGATTAAATGAAACTAAATATGATTTCTGAGACCAAAAAACAAAAACGTATCAAAATGCCAGAAGAAAATCAACACAAAATTAAAGATGTTAAATTTCGGTCGTGTCGACAATATGAGGCAGCTTCAAATGTTCAGGAGGAAGAATTAAAGGGCCAGTTACAGCAGTACTGAAAAACAGCAAAAGTGAGTGTTATTATTTTCAATTAAATTAATCCGAACTTGACACATTACTGGTCATTTAGAAGTTTGTTACTAAGTCTTAATAATAATAATATTAATAATAAAAAAAGTAATTTTCTAAAAAAAAACAAACAGCCCAAATCATTTCATTCTTGAGTCCACATCTTGCTGGAGGCAGGATGCAAATGTGTTATAAATTAAGAGTGCAACAGACGTTTTGTCTGAGTTAAACATGCTGACAACATTCACTGAAAAAAAAACAGCTGTGTTCATGAGCCAGTGCTGTAGTAACGGCAGCGGAAAGCGGAAAATCCCAGCCGATCATCTCTTCTCTGTGGGGCTTTAGGCTGAGGCTGCTCTCCAGGTGAGACAGATCCACAGCTGTGGGTGAGGACTGACAGCACACGTCAACCAGCGGTGTTATCTAGGTCAGATAATGTGTCGTATTACACATTGCGCCCAAAGCTGGCGTCCGGCCTCATCCCCGCCGAAAAGAAAGGAGGAGTGTTAAATTAAGGGTCTCTCTTCGAGGGGAAATCTCATTATGTAAAACATTTATCTTCACTAAACTACTATACCATGTTACCGCATGGAATGTGGAGTGGAGGACAGGCTTGTTAAAAAAATAAATCATTCAACCTATACTGAGCCTTTAACTAAATAAATCTCACGTTTGGACAAAGGTTCTGTTAGTTGACAATGGAAAGTGCAGCAGTAGAGTTAAGGTCAGACCAACTACAGGTTCACTTTCCAGGTTTCAGTCTTTCTGTGGTGTTATCCCCAGAGGAAAACTCAACGTAATCTGCCCATCAACCAGGTCAAACCACCAAAAGTACACAGCAGGTCCTGCTGTACGGACTGACCTATATATGTGTATATATATATATTTGTTGTGCTGTGTACATTTCAAAGGTCATGAAGACACATCCTGCTTAACCCTTAAAAGAAACCTCCAAAAGCAGAGACGGGTCAGCCTGTGGGCACACGCTGTACCGCGGAACTATGTACCACCAAACCAGGCAGGTAAACGGTGTAGGTCAGCACTCTGTGACACGGAGCTGCCAAAGAAAAGCAAGGCTTTTTTTTGCTTCCTACCAGAAGAATGACTGAGGCAGCAGTCCAGCGAAATATACTCTGAGCAGATTAACACCTGAAATTAAGAACACACCTATAGTCAGGTCGCTTTGGAAAAGTTAGGAATGGAAGCACGGTGACACGCAAGCAAAAGTCTGAACAATCCTCCACCACCAAAGCATTACTCACAACTAGCTCCATGAGGTACGACGAACAACAAACAGACATTGTGAAGTGCTCCCCGCGGGACAAAAAAAACAAACTGAACGTGACCCAAAGACCTGTGTGTGTCCGTTTATTTGTGGGCAGACACGAGCACAATGTTGGCACGAATATGAAGAGCAGCCTTCATTAATACGGTGCCGTGCCGCACGGGGCGGTGAAGGATCAAAGCCATGAATGTACATGAATGTAAGCTGCTCACACGATAAAAGCACGAGTCCCCAGCACACGCCTTCCCCAGCACACGCTGCGCTACCAGGCTGGTGTTTTGGGAGGTAGCAGTGAAAGATTCAATCTTGAGGCGAGTGCTCTATAATGTGATTACATCCTGTAGTCTGAGTTGACCTTTCTCGCCTCCGTTCTGGTGTTGCATTTTTACTCAGACGCCAAATCGATAATTCGATCGCGTGGCAGGGCTGCACACCGACTCTGCAGGCCTCCGCGCGCTCCCTTAAGGTCCTCTGATTCTCTGTTCCCTCCATTAATCCATCCCTCCCTCCGGGAGCCCCCGTTCCTCAGGCTGGCAGGACATTTCAGTGGCCTCATGAAAAATACTTTCCACCGAGGGGCAGACAGAGAGGGAAACAGAGAAGGGGTAAGAAGAGAAAGCAGGAGGAAAATACCAGGGATTATATATATAGATGTGAGGCTGCCAGAGTGTAAGGCGTGGATGAAAGTGTGTGTACAGGCTGTCAGAGTCTATTAGGAGAGGACAGGCTTCCCTGTCTGTCAAGTACAAGACAAACAACATGCTGAGTCACAAGATGAGAACTTTGTCTCCATTTCAAAGCTTTTACAAGCTGTTAAACCACATGGCACGCAAAAATGTGACGAACACGTGGAACAGCGAGGTCAGCCCAGATTACACAAATCATCCATAAATACAACGGACTACTACACACTCTTCAAACCCATGACACAGCAGAAATGGGAACTACTAGACAAATCAATCATCTCACACAAGAAAGGAAGTAATCTTTAGCGATATTCAGCACATTAGTATAGCTAAAATGTGTCTGGGACTACAACTCAGATAACAGGATCCTGTACGTCTTATGAAGAAGACTCCACATATCATATGTATCTATGTCTCTCTTTGAGAATGGGCTAAATAGGCCAAACAGTTCACATCGATATTGGAAGATATGGGCAAAGTCAAACAATAAATAATGAAATCTCATCACCGTAGAAGTGGTGTAATCTAATCTTTAGTCCAAAGGAGCAGCAGCTGTATTTCTGAGCTACTTTCAGCAGGTTTGGGGTGGACAATCACAACAATTCAATTCATGACGTAACCAATAGGGGAATACGTAGCCCTGGGTCTGTGATTGCTCATCATCCAGAAAAATGCAAACATTTCAAATTAGGCTTTAGGGAAAAGGATTTCCTGAGACTGTACATCTAAAACATAGTGATCATGTCTGGAAAACTTAAATGAACTGATGCTCGTGCAGATTTCAACATCTCCGTGACAACTTTCAGCAGTGAATCTTAAACTGATCTCCTAAAAAGATAGATATTTCCAGACACATGCCCTCTATAAGGCTCCGTGTTAGTTAAAGAGCTTTTAGTGTCCGCTGGCCACTTTTGACTCTACAAAAATAGCAGTAATCTACAAGACCGGGAGGCCAGACAAGGTCAGCGGATGATGGCCGCAGGGCTGCGCACGGAGGCGCCGGCTCACCTGGCCGTGGGGTGGCCGTCAGCGTGTGCATGTTGTGGTGAGTCGGAGGCCGAGGGTCCTTCCTCCCCGTCCCGAGGCAGCTCTTCACATTCTGCCTCACACTTATCATCGTCCAACAGCTCAGTGATCTGGAGAAGAAAAAAAAAAAAAAGTTACCTCTTACATTTACAACCAGCATTCCAAAGTTCAGAAAATGTAAAAAAAACAAGAGAATGCAGTCATTTGCTCTTCTAATATGCCAAAAGACATTGTTTAAAGACTTGATATTAGCTCATATTTTTAAGGAAATAGAAAAAACTTTTAAGTAAAAAGTAAAAATTGACTGTTTCAATGTGAACAAAATAGCTACAGTGGGTTCACATTGATTGATAAAGTCTAAAGAGTTTAATAGACTCATGACAAATATAGTAGGAACAATTTATTTGCTCTCATCGCCGTTATCTGAGTTTTATGGCCCTTTTTAAACGGAAGCTACTCAACTCTCCTCAGTGTAGCTTATGGCAGCATACAACTAAAACCCAACCCAGTGAGCAGATTTCACCTGAGGCACAAAACTGCTTTAGAGGTTTGGAAGTTCTGTTCGAACAGTTTCAAACAAATTATCTAATCAGAAAAAAGACACATGATTTTTTTTTTTTTAAAGATACGTTATATTCAATATTTTGAGACTAATCACATCCTTAGCATAAGGTTACAGATATTTAAATCAAAGTGCAGATGCTGATTGCATTTCCACGACTGGGCCAAGACATTCCAGTTTGTTCCCGGAGACGTCTAAGTATAGATTAGGCTAATGAAACACACAGATACAGAGCTAAGCAGGGAGACAGAATCACTGAATCAGAGGAGGAAATCTTTGAAGGACAGCTGGGGGAGTGAAGACAGCAAAGTAAAGGATGGAGTGTTGAAAGTCTGGCTCAGGGACATATCATTTACATGTTGACTTTGCAATGTTCCGAAGCCTGATAGTCACATGACAAATTCCTTCAGTAAATCCTCCAGAATACAGCAAACCTTTTTTATTCTGGAGACGCAATGAAACATGACAGATATGTTGCGTTTATTTAAATAAACTGATAATAAAACAAAAAAATTCAAGTATGTAAGACTGGTTCGCTCTGACGGTGAATATGGTGAAAGAATCGCATTGGTTGGTTTTCAAACAGCCATGGAAACCATTCATAGCTACCTTTAATATCAACATATTACGGTACGTGGTATTTTTTGTTCTGGGATGACGCCAAAGCAATAAAGAGAGGGATCAATGCTGAGGGATCAAATGGGAATGAGGAAAAGGGTGATAATGATTCTGATGGTTAAAGATAGAACAGGAGACAGGCACGAGAAGAGGAGAGGGGAGGTAGATGTTAGACAGAGATGAGGCGAGTAAACATGCTGACAGAAATAACTGATCGTCTCACTAATAGCTGGCAGCATGAGAACGAGACACAAACAGAAGGATATAACAGAGGGGGCCATTTTTTATTTGTAATATTGGGATTGCTGATCTAAAGTACTCCAATGAAAACCTCACTGACAGATGGCTTACACCATTTTAGACACCAAAAAATAGTCTTAATTTAAAAAAAAAAAAAAGAAAAAAATCCTGGAAGACATCTGGGTTACAGGTTAACATGGATACATTGATCTGTTTGTCCTCGACTCCATTTCCCTCCTTCACAGCAGCAGCTCCATCTGTTGCTGTCACTGTGCAGTTGCTACAGAAACACTTTGTTCCCAAGCCGCGATTGGCTGTCGGGGAATTCTTGCACCATCACATGTGCAGTGCTGGGAGGAGGATGACTCACACGGCTGAGTGTGTGTGTGTGTGTGTGTGTGTTTGTGTGGATGGAGACGTCTTACTCTGAGGCAGCATCAGCACCGTCACAGTTAACACGCTCTGAATGAAAACCAGACGATGAAAGAGCTCAAAGCAGCAGGTCTGAGAAGGTGGGAGTGAAGTGAATGAATCCTCTGACAATGATAACATAACTAACTTTAAAATAGAGCAACCTGAAGCTGAATAGTGGCTGCATCTGGAGCATCCGGTGTTTTAAAAAAAAAGCATTTTAAGATGCATCGTGTCTTCACATCAGCACCTTCCAGGTCGAGCCACTGTTTGTTGACCTTTGACCTTTTTGTCAGCCCAATGAGCAAAGACTATTTCACAATGACTGTCTAATCTAACTTTAATCGAAGCCAAGAACACCATCTTTTCGTTTTTACAGATTAAGCCATTACTTCCCATTTTCTGAGTGAAACCTCTGACAGATGTGACGACTATTTAAATTTCTTTCACAGGCGTCTTCAGAGCGACCCTATTAGGGACAGCTTAGTAAGTCTGGAAAACTGCCTGACAGGAGGGGTATTTCTGAGATAACATGAACAACATGGATGCCAACATCGCCAAGACACAAAGACACAGACCAATTCAAACAATATATAAAGAAAATGGTACCTGTGCTTACTGACAAGCTTTTTAACGACATGGGCTTGAACAATATTTGGGATTCAACAAGATTTTGATTCAACCAAAAGTCATTTCATAACTTTTTTTACTCAGCTGAGGAAAGAGACTAGAATCAGCATTCTTACAGCTAAATTCCAAAGCACAGCTTTAAAAAGGTTTCTGATCAAATGACCAGAAGCAGTTGGTGAATCTCAGGACTTCTGCTTAGTAAAATGAGTCCGATTTTTACTTTCGATCCAAAGTTCCTTCTGTGTATTCACATCCGTGCGAAGGAACTGACATGAACAATGAAGCCTGATTGAGGTATTGCCCCCGGGACTATAGATGGTCATTCAGATGGCATAAACTGGGTGAGCTGGCGGCTCTGCTGAGTAAGTTATTAGAAAGCCTTTGAGGTGACGTAACTAGAGGATAAGAGCAGCCAAATCCCCAGTCAGGATGACCTTGCATGTTCACGCTGAAAATATTATCCTCTTACTTTAGACTTTGGAAAATGTTAATCTCATTGACTCATAAATGAGTTTAAACACAGAAACCGGGGGTTGTTTGTTTTAAGTGGGCTTTCAGATGTAAAGCGCCGTTGTTGTTGCGCCTTTTCGATGCACAAGAGCGCCTCTGTGTGCTGCGCGTCCGCATGGGAGGGCGAAAGGGACAGGGCGGCGGGCAGTCTGCAACAAAAGGCCGTGATCTTGGCCCTCGTTTGGGGGTCCGGCCCAGAGCTTCTGCACAGAGAGCGAAAAGAGCGGCGCGCGGCGCTGACATCATCGGCTTGGCGGCCGAATTGTTCATGAGAGAAGAACGCAAAAACAATGACAGCTGACTAGCACAACAAGGCCTCATTGATTCCCATGTTAGCACGAAAAACAGCAGGAAAGTTAATACACTGCACCCCTAAACAACATTTTAACAGCAGGTCTCCAGCCGAGCGGGAGGGGATATTCAGTCACCTTTAAATGTTTGCCAGTTCTAGCCCACACCTGCTCCTCCTCAACGCTATGAGAACTTATAGGAACTAACCGAGTTGAATAATAAACTTGTTTTTTTTCTCCCTTTACAGTGATCACATGCCTCAGAACCAAGGTTGTGGGAATATTTATTTCATTCAAATGATATCTGACCTGTGATAAAAGTTGTGATAAAAGCTGGGTTTCATCTTCTCTTTGTGCATGGTTGTGGGTTCCTGCCGGTATGACTACACTGTTTACTTCTGGCGGTACCACGGGAGATAAGCCCTCCAGCCTGACGCTCCTGCAGTGAGTGGGCAGTGTGATCCGGCATTCGACTTCACTTCTGTTCGCGCTCTCTGCGGCCGCTCGTAAAAGGGCAGGGAAAGCTAAATAAATCAACAGCGCGGCCGCGTCTTTCTTTACAGTTTTTGTTCGGGCTGAGAGGCCCCATACAGGGATAAACACACATCTACTCTCCTGCCCTGCTAGGCCTTCACCTCCTCTTTAAATAACCCCATGTACCAACATAACCAGGTTACCACTTAAAGCGGCTAATCAGATGTGCCAGAGGTCAGTGTGTGTGCAGCTTCAGCCTGCACAGAGTCCAGAATACCATCACTGAGATTTGCCATTGGAATTGACAGAAAACTGTAATTAGTTTCCTTTCAAATCTGTTACACAAAATTCCCTTATCTCATCACGTAAATATTTATTTTATCTTTTAATGTTAGATTAAAGTAGATTTTCTTTCATGATAATCTAAACCACAGAAGAACCAAATCAGTGCTACCACAAACAAGAGGGCCCAAAAAGTCAAACTGTTCCATGGATTCTCCAGACGTTCCCCAAAGGAGCAGCAGCACACTTTCATTTCCACAAAACACAGATTAAAACACGCTTTCAGCCTGAGAACATGTGTGCCGGCTCTCCAACAGTCCAGCCTTTGTGCTACACTGAGAAAAAGTCATGGGCAGAGACTATACGGAAATGGTGAAATTCCATGCTCTTATCTGAGAACGAGTGCCAGTTTTTTGTGCAAATTCCAGCGATAAGAAGCTTCGTTGAGCGGTGAATGAAAATAAAAGCATCAGCCTGAGTCGTGGCACCAACAAGCCATTGCACAGCATTGTTTTCACCTAAACAACAATTCAACCCACTGATTAAACAATAAAACCCCAAATTCAGCTTGGCTTGCCTCTTTTCTCTCTGGCTCACTCCCTTAGTCTCATTCATGCTTTACAGTCTGCTGTGTCTCTTTTCATCATGGTTTATTTAAAAAGTTTTTAACGGAAACCCAAAATAAGTGTGTGTCCTCTGTGTGGAGGCAGCTGTGTGTGGGAGATAATCCCCCTCATGAGGGTTTGCTCACACAGAAAGCCATCCCCAGTGCAGTGCAGTGCAGCGGGTGGAGGTTACATCATCACCAGCTTCTTTTCTTATCCTTCCCTGCCTCACCAGCTCTACCTCCCTCGCCTCATTTCTTTCTTCTTTTTTTTCTCTCTCACCTTTTCTTCCCCTTCCTGCCTGTCCCCTTTTTTTTTTTTCTTCCTTTTCCCCGGAAGTCTTACATAACGCACATGGAAAGACACACAGCTGTGTCCTCCTGGATTTCTCTTGCTTTCTCCATCTGACTCACCGGATGATACAAATGAGAGTGGGGGGAAGCAGGAAAGGTGCAAATAAAGACATTGACTGTGAAAAATGAAGCAGAGAATCTAGGAGAGCCCCCAAAGAGCTCAGGATTTTCTCTTTAATGAGGGAAAGATGTGACTGAGGATAAATCCAAGGGCCTAAGATTATAAAGCTGCCACAAGTGGAGCTCTGTATCCCACAGAAGTGCAGTCAGAAGAGCACTAAAATAGAACCTAAAACAAATGTTAGAGATAAGATTAGAACTAAAACAAATAAAACAAATAAAGAAGCTAAATAAATAACCTGCTGTCACTGATACCAACCCTCACGATCACTTTCATAATGACTGGATGCATTTTCCCAACAGCATCTAAAGATTATCTCCACAGCTTATTTGTGTTGGAAATACTCTTAAATGAGCCAGGAGTTAAAGTACCAGAGTGGGTCAGATACTGATCAAAGGATGTGTATATTACCATGCAGTAAAAGAGCGGAATCTGAGAGCTGTAATGAAACGTTAACCGTCCTTTTTCAACACTGAAACACTGACAGCTCTAAACTATGAGGTGGCCTCATTTAACATGTATCTGTCTAACAGCTGGAGTCAGAGTCACCATAAACACAAAGTTCACAGATGAGAAGAAAGGGCAAAGTTGGGTGCTGATGTCCAATCTGTAGCAGATAATCACATTGACAGGAGATTTTTTGTTTCTTGGGATCCTCAACGTTTAAATAAAGCTAAACTTTAACTGTTATGCCTTCCAAAGCTGAGCATTTGTTACCTCTGCTGGTCTGGAGGCAGTGCCAACAGTTACACTGAATGATTTATGAAATTAAGCATAGCTCAGTTATAAAAATGTAAAAAATAATAAAAATGGAATGTGTCTGCTAGTCCAAAATCTACTATGTGGAGAGAAAAACCGTAGAATTGAGATTACTCACCTCCTGTTTTTAAAACTTATCCTACAATGCTGGATATTCTTAGGTTTTAGACACTCACACACTGTTAATAAATCTGAATGGACTTCATGAACCCGTAGCTCCACTTTTATAGCAGTTGCTTTGTTAATGTTTCTTTGTTTGCTGTCAATATGACCTTTGACTTCTCCTGTAGGGAATAACAGCCAGTGTGTGTCTGTGTGTCCAAAAGGAAGTTCCACTCTGAATCTGCCACAGTTAAATAAATTATCATTCTGTCTGAGAGCCATGAAAGTTTTTAAAAAAGGGAGGGGCACCTAGACAGAGTTTTGACCTCCTATGTCAGGAAACTGTATGAACGATTCCACATATAGACACGTTTTATTTTCTGTTGTTCAATATTACTCCTTTATCAAACAGATGCAGGAGGGAAATGGTGTCATATATAAAAAAACAGAGATAAAAGATAAAGAAGAAGGGGCGAACCTGTTCGTTGATGGAGCTGTAGTCGTTGGTGGTGGAGACATCATCATCCTCCGAGTCAAACAGGCCCTCCTGATTGTCCAACAGCTCTGCCAGGACTCTGCTGACAGACTCCTGATCTCTGAGGTCCTCTCCTTCAGCGGACAGACTGCAGAGCGAAAGCAACTTACTTTACCTTTAAACCAACGATTATAAAGCTCTCTCACTATATCATCTGGGTCCACTAGCTCCAGATTATCCTGTTTTCTATGACATTTGCTAATAAAATTAGCGATGCCAACATAACCATTTGATGCTGCAATTCCTCACATCCGGCTGAAACTTTGTGAACTTTTCTAGTGGCATTAAGAGGTCATATTTCAAATGGTTAATCCCGAGGGGTTCTTACTGAAAGATGTCTGGGCCGAAGACGGCGGCCAACGCCCCGACATTCCAGTTCTCCTGCTGAAGCGATGCCACGCTGGCCAGGAAGCGGCACAGGAAGCGCAGAAGGCTGTAGTTCAACTGGGGAAGCTGCTGGAGCAGGTACTTCAGGTTTCTGCACAGCTCCTCCTCACTGCTGTGGTCTGTGTTTGAGCAACAGAGGATCAGAAATCAAGTTTCCCTGTTTCACAACAACCACACTGCACCTCTGAGCCCATTTCCATGACCCGGAAAGTTTTGACCAGGCAAATGATGGACTAATAAACCCATCACATTCAATCACAGATCAGCTATGAAGTCTTACCCAAATAAAATACACAGATGGGTGGGAACATTTTCATTTTCAAAGCTCTACGGCTTAAAACATGAAATGAGGTGAACCATTCTTTAGCCACTGTGCAGCATAACACAAAAATAATAGGTCATATAATCTGCAGCAGGGAAACATCATGATGACAAGAGATCAGAGCAGATTAGAGACAAAGGGAAAAAGGGCATAAAAATGGAAACAGAGCAAGTGTTAAAGTGGGAGCTTTATGAAAATGGCACATTCCGTTTAAACATTAGACTTTTCAGGGAAATTATTTTCTTTTCATTAACGGTTATATAAAAACAATAAAAGTAGAATAAAAATCCCCAACGGATGAAAAAAAAATGTTTTCGCCAATGAGAAAACAAACAGCAAAAGTAGGTGGAGCTGTATGTGGAGAGGGATGGAGGCTGAGTGGGTGTCACACCTTGGTGCAGCTGCAGTATGTGTCCTTGTATCGCCGTTGGGATGACGGGCTCAGGAAGCTCCTGCAGGAAGAGTCGGAGCAAGCTGACCGCTGAGGCCAAATCGGCCTCCTTCTCTAGCTCCACCTCCTCGCCGCTGTCGTAGCGCTGACGCAGCCAGTCCACTCGCTCCGCGTTGCCATTGACCAGGAAGAGCCCCTCAAAGTCCAGGTGACCTGAAGACACGGGCGGCAGCAGTCGTTTACACACGGGCCTCCAGCGTTCAGTAATACGATACAAAACCCCAGAATCACAGGGCGTCCCACTGAGGCATGTTGCAAATACCAGTCCAGGTTTTCCTGCACATGTATATTTAGTGGGTATCATCACGTCGTGAAGCCATTAGGAATATTTGACTTGGTTGCAGCTGCTCTTAGATTTTTCTGCCTTTTGTAAGCAAATAAACAAGTGTGTTCAAATGGAGCCATTTAAGGACCCTGAATCAGATACAACTTGAAACTAATCAACAGTAGAATAGTAAAATGTATTAAAATGACAGTGTCATTGATCACAAGAGATTTTCTAAGAGTTTAAATAACAATTTGGGGAACATTTTGTCAGATCAAATTTATATTTTAGATTAGGTTAAACTCAAATTACACATTTTTCCATAACAGACTAACAGGAATCAAACCAATATAAGATGCTTGTCTGATCACTCTGAAATGAAAAGACCCAGCAGGGAATAAGTGGCGTGTCAGGGGAGGCCTCCTGACTACCTCTAAAAATGTGAAAACAGAATTATCCACATTCCGGTACACAGCTTATGTAAGTCCAACAGATGAACAAAAGCTTGGTGATAATGCTTGTGACTAGAATGGCATTTTTCCTTATCTGTCTAAAAAAAAAAAAACAATCACCAGGCCACACATGACAGCAATCGGCTGCAGATGTGACAACATCATTTTCACGTTCTTCCCTACTTACATAACACACTACATAATCTCTGAATATGTCACAGTGACACTTACGAATGTTAACTCCTGCCTTTTTTCTAAAGATTTAAATGACTCAATACAAACAACAATTACTCAAAGTTCTATTTTTTACACTCACAGAGTTGACTTTACAGAAGTGATCGATACTGAAATACTGAAGCAGGACTGGTAATAAATGTTGACATTTTAGTTAGTCAGAATAGCCGCTGCTGAAATCCAGCAAGCAGGACCTGATATTAAAGAGTTAATGCGGCGACGTGTGGATTCTGAAACAACATTTTGGTGGTGCCTCCTCTGTTCTGTTAACGTCCCGGTTTCTTATCCATAAATTAGCTACTTAACTCACTGCTCGAGTCCACATGCTTACAGGGTGTCCTGGGGGACACTTTCCCTTTTATAGCCCCACAAAGTAGTCCACATGCAGATTAGCTGCTCAGGGTGATGACAGAGCTGCAGTTTTTTTTTTATCCAAATGAAATAAAACTAAATCATCTTTCTAAGTCATAAATCGACTAAAATTCCCTAAACCCCGATTGTACTCAAATCAAGCATCAAAAACAAAAACAGGAGGGGGATTAAAGCCTTTTTCGGAGGCTGAGTGACTTCCTGACCGCCAGCAACGCTCTAATTAATGCTCCAGCAGAGACCCCGGGGGATTACAGACTTATTACACAACTTCGCATGGGTCACACAAACCACCAACCTGCCTCATTTTTCTCATCTGAAGTGATTTCCAGAGACACTTTGTTCCAGCAGACTGCAAATACGTCCACTGGCAACGGACACGCACAACAAAGTTCCACCTGGCAGGATGAGGACTCTGTATGCAGGTGTCCGTCAGACATATTCATTAACGGAGACAGCCCCATTTGGTATTGTTTTGTCTCTGTAAAGAGTCAAATTTAACTTGTTTCGAAGGCTTTCAGTTCAAAATCTTCAGTTACCTTAATTCAAAAACTGTTTTTTGGGTCAGATTACATAAGAATGAATTTTAGGCTGAGAGGGCTTTTAGAGATATGATCTCGGAAAGACACTGTACGCTTCGCTGGGTGACTTTCCAAACCTTTCTGTGTTCAGCTTCAATTAGCAGAACTCTTATGTAATGAAAAAGGAGGACGCCATCTGTCTGCTACTCTCATCAAAGCTCATCTGACAAACTAGGAGCTCCTTAACATATTTTGGCTCCGGCGTGACGCAGGAGCTGTGGCTGCAGGTCAACAGCCAGTAACGCGGCCCTGATCCTGACTGCGGCTCAGACCTCCTGACCTGGTCGGAATGCGCCCTCATGACCACCGAGATGTGCAGATGGAGCCCTGCTGGTTTTTCTGGAATGAAGCTCATTTCAACGAATGACCGAGCTTTCAAAATTAGAGCCCCACACAGCCGACCTCTTAAAAGCTAATTCTGCATCCAGAGTCACAGAAATGTGTGTGTGTGTTATTTATTATTAAATTATTATCAAGAATTAACATTTGATCTGTATCTACTTGTTGTTCCATCAGACGCCAAACATATCATAGAGGCGATAATTCAAGATATCTGACAGATCCATTTCGGTCACGTACAGAGAGAAATTGCCTTCTGAAATCTAATCACGTAAGCATTTGAAAGGGGGCTCCCAATCGTGATTTTATGATCTCTGGCGGCAATGCTGCCACATACTGAGATCCAAACCCAGCTACAGGTAACTTTTTACAACCTTTGAATTTTCTTGCAGTGGTATTTATTTTACTCAAACATTTCTTACGACTTCTTGACCCAAATATTCAAATTCTTAGATAAATTGACAGTGTCATTGTGTATTGATACATCTGGTCCCTTAATGTCAAAGCTCCAGCTTTCAAATGGAAACAATAAGTATAATTGAGTAAAGAAAAAGAATAAGATCTCAGATTTTCAATAACAGGTTTACTAGTAAATCAGTTTGAGGGCATAAAAAAGAGAAATCGTTCCTGTCAGCAGTGAAAACAGAAGCTGTTTTCTGAGGTGAGCTTACCTGCCATCAGCTGCAGAGGTTCTCTAGTCCTCCTCTCAGGATGGGTTAGATTAACCGAAACAAAAATAGATATTTTGCTCTCCCGTCTAGATGTCTGTTGCTCGCTGGTTTCACTTGCATTAACACCCACAGCTTTTATTTCCCTTAGAGTTACGTAAAACTTATCAGCTTAAGTAACCACGGTCAGCGCTGATTGCTTTGCAGGCGTTTGTCTAATGCTTCATGTATTATTACATGAACACATCGTTTCTTATTCATCGTTTCTTATTCGTCTTTTTTTTCCAAATTATTCATAAAAACAAAAAAAAGGCCAGAGATAAATGATAAGCAGCCTTCATTTGTAGAGGAGATTCGAATTAAAGTCTCTGACTTTTGCCTCCTATATCAAAGAAGAGAACTGGACTTTTTTGTCCTGGGGTTCTTTGTGTTTAGTTTGCATGTCCTCACTTTGCATGTGTGGATTCTCTCCAGCCACAGTCCTGCATATTCGGTTAACAGAGCCATTAAATTGACCCTCAAAGTGCGTGTGTGTGTGGTTGTTCTTCTCTGTGTGGCCCTGTGACTGACGATGTGTCCAGGGTGTACCATCATCTCACCCAGTGACAGCTGGAAATGGCTCCAGCTCCAACCCCCCCAAGCCTACTATGAATAAACAGATGTAGGCAATGGATGGGTGGATGTTCAGGTGTAGCACCTTCAATCAATTTGAGTGTAAAAATACTACGCAAAGATAAATGTCTTACTAAAATCTAAATGTCAACTGTATTCAAGTAAAATTAATATTGAGCAAATAGGTTTCTCATTAGTACTTTTGTATTTATAACCCGAGAGATAATGACTCAAAAGGCCATTTAAAGTCTCGCGGATGAATACATAAACTCGCGGGAGTCTCTATGAGTCGCGCCGTCATTCTGCGGCTCACCGTGCTCCTCGATGTAGTCCACGATGTGTTTCACCAGTGCAGGAACCTCTTGGCCGCTGATGGTTTGTGTGCGCGTCACCTCCTCCAGGGGAACCCCAAACACCCGTGTGGTGCTGGCTGAGCTCCCGCCCTCGTTGCCTGGCAACGGAGACGCACTCTTCCTCATGGCCTCCGCCTCCTCCTCCTCACCACAACCCCGCCAAGACCTCACGTCTTTCCAAAAACAGAGAGAGAGACAGGATGTTTTAAAATGAAGAGAGATGGGAGGACCTACAAAATCCCCCTCTGAGGCATTCAAAGCTTACATTCAAACTTCAGGTTTCGTCAAAGCAACCCATCAGCACAGTGACCAAAACTCACTGGTCACAGAAAAATGAGAGGTTGTAAGAGGCGACGTGAATAAGTGACACCATCGAACTTAATGTAAGTGTGCAGACTCACCGTGTAGCAGTGAAAGTGTGTCCTATCCTCTCCTCCCCCGGCCAATGAACCGCTGAACCATCTATGGTTGCTTCAGGTTGTGGCAGAAGATGAGCCGATAGTTCCTCATTGACGGACCGCTAATCCCTCGAGCAGGATTCCCTTCTAGCTACAGGGAAGACAGACAGCGCAGGAGGATGTAGAGGGGTGAGGGCAGGGGCAGAAAAGAGGGGGTGAGGGTTGAGAAGGAGGTGAAGATAGGTAGAAATAGAAAACATGTACGTTATAGAGGTTCTAGTTGGTGACATGCTGTAAAACATGTTTTAGTGAAGTATGCTTTTTGACACACTCTTTGATGCATCCAGGTAAAGACACAAAACAACATAAAAAGCTGTCAAAGGTTTAACTGGATCCCAGAACCAAATATATCAACCCTAAACACAGTTTTCACTTCTACTACAAGTAAACAAACCTGTGCTCCACACAGTTCACATACAAGGAGCAGGACCATTTTAAAAGAAAAGCTCAAAAAAATCCACAGCTCAAAAAGAATTGAGGAAATCCAAACAGCAAAGAATCCATTTTTGCTTTTGAAGTTTCCCTGTTAGCTAAATGTTTTGTTGTTGTTTTTTAAAGGGGATTTCATTTTCAGATAAAATCATTTTTCTTTCAATATCTAGCTCAGAGTTTCTCACTCTATGAGAAACTCACAGGGGACTTTTAAAAGACCTGCCACTATTCATGGAAAATCTCAGATTTAATTTCTGTGGCTGAGAAGCTGGAGTTCCATCTCCAAGTTCTGGCCTTTAGTAAAGCCTGTTTAATGAGGGTTTCAGAGGTTTTACGTTGGTTCATGATGATTCCTGAGTTAAAAGGCATTCTTCAGCCTCTTTTGCGTCTAAAGCCAGCTGAACTAGCATTTCTAGTGAGTGAGCCTCTTTAAAAGCTAAAGAAAATCTCACTGAGATGAAAGTCGTACCGGGACGGGGTATTTACTATAACAACAAAAGCTGCTCCACCAGCCAAATGCTTCCGTTCTCAGCAAACTAATCTGGTGTAAAAACTTTAATAAGAGCGCGTTTCTGGAACATGTGTAATATCATTTCATTCACCAAGACCCTAAATAGCACAGGGTGACTTACAGTCTCAGACATGGAAATGGGCCCTGGGACACATGGAGATGTGACAGCATTTTATTCCTGAACAGGTTTTCGTCTGCCATGGGGAAAAAATACTTTACATCAGTGGTTTAGCTAGCCATGGAACAGTCCAGAAAAGCTTTTCTCTGTCTTAATCCCAGATATAATGTCTGTGAAACAACTAGGGATATTGCTGGAGGGAAAACTGAGGCTGCAGAGACAGACGGAGTGAGAGAGAAAATGAGGCGTATACATTCACAAAGAGACACACAGCTTGTAAACCTGTAAAAAAAAGACTGTAAAAAAAGTATTTACAATGCAGATCGTGTACTTAAATAACAAATCAAAGTGGCATTTCTGGGAGGATTTTATCTCTTCAGCAGCACCTCAAAATGCACGCCACTACGAACGCAACCCCTTTTCTTTTTTCAAAGAAAAGCAGCCTTTAGTCTGTCAGACTAAAGCCACAATCCTCCTTCTGCTGGAAGTCTAACTGTCAGACACAGCTAAATGCTTGCAATCTGCAGTCTGGACTCAACCGTATTATATCATATAACAATCTAGCTCAACAAGTGTGCAGACCGTGTCTCTTGACACTGAAGAAATGGCATATTGGATCTTCATGAAAGCAGCTTTTCCTGAGCAGGACCTCCCGCAGCAGCGCTGGCAGTAAATTCAAATTAACCAACTGTATATCAGATTTCAGCTTGTTTCTAAATAGAGAGCCTGCCCACATTCACAGATGAAGCCTGAATAGAGCTGTGTGGGGGGGCTGCTTTGAACAGAAAGGTCACAGGTTTGGTACCTGCGAAACAGGAACCAGACACCTGGCAGAACATTCCTGAAACTCCCACTGCTAAGTGCAACTCAGCTTGAGACGAACGACCCATTGCGTTAATCATTCTAAAAGCTCGGCAGATGTTAGAGGGAAAAAAAATAGCCATATTTCTATTGGGGAAAAACTCACTACCCACTGGAGGACAAACTATTCACAAAGCTTCTGAGGTTTATTGGAAAATTTCCTCCAACTTGCATCACGCAGAGAAATTTCCTCAAATAGGGAACAAAAGTTGTTAACCTCCAAATGGTTCATCATCACTGGCAGACAAATGACAGTAAATTCAGACCACGCAACAATAAAACGAGTAATAATGCCAGATTCTTTCCCAGATGTTAAAAAGAATCAGATTTCTAAGCCAAAGACAACAAACCACCATTAAAACCAAAAAAAGGGCCTAACGAGCAGAAAACACAAGAGTGCAGACGGGGAATGGACTGAAATGCCCTTCCCCATTCAGACGAAAATGAATTCCTGATACTTTCTGCTGACCTTACACGCCACATACCTTCCTTGTGCTCTGCAGTTTGAGCGTGACGTTTCACATCTAAACAAGCACACGGCAAAAAAAAAAAAAAAAACACGTGACAAAAACGCAGAACGTCCAGATACAAATCTGTCCTAACGTTGCCAAAGCATGTGACCAAGATCCTCATTTGCACTGTCACAAAGGGTATGAAAACAGCACGAGCAGCTTCCTGGTGGAAACGATGTTCATTTTTTTAACCCTCATTAGGGCAGTTAGCCATCCAGGATGCTTTAACTGCTGAGTGAGAAACCTGCTCGACAGGAAGTCTATTAATAATCAGCTTAAACTGATGAGCGGCGTTTGATCTTGATCTCAGAGGCTCCATGTTGTTAGCAGCGCACCTCGGCCATAAACAGCTGTATCAGTCTGCTGCGTGCCCAACATTAATAGATGGAGATCCACAAAGTCAAATGTGAGCGAACGGGAAGCTAATGTCCTAATGTCAGGGTTAAAACCTGCACCGACGTGTTGTGAGTGTTTACTTTAAACCTGCTGGCGCAGATTTTTTGAACCTCTGTCATCAGTTAAATTTGTCTTGTCTGACTTGTAATGAGGTCTAAAGGCTATCCCTTCTCTACTGTCAACTATTAGGACAACAAAGCAACAGTGAGTTAAAGGTTGGGCTTCATTCCACAGTTGTACATTTGTAAACTATTCACTATTCACTTTGACTTGGAGGTTTCACTATGGACACGCCTGCATATTAGGGAAATATTTACAAGAATGTCCTTTGTCCACACCTCGGGTTAGTAATTTACCAAAGCTTAGTCGATATTTTCGAGTGTTTGCTCGTCTCCCTTTGCTCTAAGCACAATGAACTCCACAATACATGCCCTCTTGAACTGTGTTTTTTTGCTGATTGTCTGGTGCATTTCCTGACAAACTAACCTACTTCTTCCAGGGGGGCAAAAGGCATGAAAGATAACAATGTTTAAAGGGTATTATGGTATGTTTTAAAGATCTTATCATAAAGATAAAAGGTGATTATTTGATCATTTAATTCTTCATGTTGTTATTGGAGGTAATAGCTCCTCCTACGACACAAATTAAAGGAAAAACTGTGTTGTGTTAAAAAGCCTTTATCGAAGCAATATTTAGAAAAATATCTGGTATAAAAAGCATTACTGAAATGAAACGATAACAAAGAAGTGGGGAAAAACAAAGATTTTGCAGCCCGACTTTGCCCTTGAGTCAGAAGCAGCATCTCACTGCTGTAACCCAGTTTAGCTGCTCCAACACCGGCCATGTCAGTGATAAATTAATAAGGACATGTCTTTGGGGGATATGTGCTTTTCCAGGCCTTGGAATCTCTTACAGTTTGTTTCCCCTGCTCGTTTTGACGATGCAGGAAACATGTAACAACAGCAGTCTTTTTTAAAGATATTTCCATTTAATTTTACAAAAGCTAAATAAAGGAAAACTGTAAGCGAGCGTCGTTAGGCAGCTTGAAGACCACACTGACCTGCAGACCGAGTCAAACAGTTTTAACAGAATAAATACAATGTATTATTATTAATGCCAATAAAAATAACATCTTTGAAATTTTAATTCATAAGGTCTCAAAGAGATGAACAGCTAGTTTCCCCTTTGTGGGAGAAAACATCTTATGTTAAATATTTCCTTTTTTTGTTATAGATCAATTACCCTTCAGAAATCAGACTTTTATACATTTAGTGAACAGATTTAACTAGTGCATTCAAAGCTTCCATTAATTAGACCGCACACTCCCACTGAAAGGGCTAATGAGACTTCTCCAAAGAAGAGGGAGTTGACCTGGACGGGTTATCTTCCACTATCAGGATTAATAATCCACTTTATCGGACTTGAACCCAGTTTAAGGCTGCTTTGTCCCACAGAAACTGTAATGTGTAACATAGCGTCCATTCTTAGCTCCCTTGAAGGACCGTGACACTGAAAAGGCCTTGAACGCCTACACTGGAAACACAAACGCCGCTCTATGCTGGCAACTGTGGGAGTGGAAGGAAGGCAGCATTTCTTTTGGTACATTTGCATCAAGTTTGCTTTTTCATTCTGCCGTCTAAGTGAACAGTCAAATAGATTCTTGTTTTATTATGAATCCCTCCGAGTCATAAAAGCCAAACTTTAATTATTTTCTTAATAACACAAATAAAATCCCTTAAGTATCCTTTAAAGAATCTGCCAACACTTAGTTTTTAAAATGTCTGGTCTCAGAGACATGAAATCCATGCCCTGTTAAAATGTTTTTTTTTGGATAAGAGGGAATTTAAGTATCCATCATGAACATCTAGTGCAGAACTTGACAGAAACGCTTCCATTTCAGTCGTTAAATACTTGATGTAATAGCTGTGCTCCTGAGCCCAAAGAAAAAAACGGTTCTCTGCTCAGAAAAAAACAGCACCTGTTGACAAAAATAAAGTAAAATGGCTGCCTACAGATTAAAGCCTGTGACAGAGGATTTAAATCAAAAGCTCTTTTCATTGGACAATGATAACAGTAACACTATACCGACAGGCCATGTAAAGCTCATTTGAATGGCACAGAGGGGTGCAGAAAAAAAGATAGGGACTTGTATTTGTCTGACTAAAGTAAGAATTTTGTCTTGTGCATAAACCTGTTAATCTGGCCAAAATTGAATGAGATGCATTAAACCAGCATAATATACCCAGATAATGTGATTAAGCAGAGAATAATTCCTGTTTGCGCACT